TGATATAACAATGAATTATCAATGAATTATACATTAGGCATAAGGCAAATTAGATAGACGACAACTATATTGCCTTTTTTGTTTTCTTCTTTTTAAGCGTGAAGTAGTCGAAAATACAATATTATATTTTGCTATGTAAAATAAAAGTTTGAAAAGCATATGTAGCTTTAACTATATAAGTCAAATGCTTATTATTTGAAGGCCGGGTCGGGTGGGTCGGGTACCAGGTACGACTGATCGGGTCCGGTTCGGTTTCGGGTGCAAAGTGATTGGGGCCGGTTGGGTGCCGGGTATGAAAAAAATCAGTCGGATCGGGTCCGGGTGCAAAAAGTAGTACCCGTGCAGGACACTAGTCTCGATTATATTCTAACAAGAATATGTTACGTCTTGTACACGTAGAAAAAAAAAGCTATTTTATACAACGCATCATAAACCCATAGAGAGTCATGACATGCCAAATATCGTCATTACGTCACTTACTCTTCTTTCAAACATCTTTCGAAATGTGATAGATTCATTCTGTTCATTTTTTATCAGAATTCATCAGATACCTGATGTACCAACAATCTTTATGTTGACCATAATTCAGTACAGATCAATAATAATGCTTTCGCATTGTTTTCAAAAAGACGCATCATGATATTTTCTACACGCTTCTATAAAGCTTCATTTACTAACTTGTCGGAACTTCTCAAAGTATCATCTTGGATTTGACACTAGACTATTATATGCATTGAGTAGACTTCTGTAGGCAATGAGTTACTCTAAATGAATCACTGCACATAGTGTATTTTTGAACAATCAAATGAATTTCTACTCAATTTTTCCTCTATGATTACTGTTTGTCAACAAAATCATATTTTCAATTTTTAGTTTGGAACTTTGGTAAAATAAAAACCTCAACTAGACTAGTTTACATTTACTTCAATATCAAAAACAACAACAGAAAACTATAGTCAAGGTTACTCTGAGAAAGACTAAAAAAGATATATGATTCTTTTTTTTTTGGTCATTCGATTTTAATTATCATGATGATAAATTTTCTATTCTCAAGCCGAATTTTGGTTCTAATTAAATGCCGTGAAATGATAAAAATACAGAGGACAACATGTACGTTTCCCAGCATGCCAAAGAATCTATTATTTTGTGGATGTGAGTTTAGGATTTCTTTTTACCAACGAAGTCACTCACATCCACACCCTGAATGTTTTGCGCAGATAATGAATCTCTAAATAATTTTGTCGTATATAGGATCAAACAAAAAGACATTCGGAGTCCATCTCTTTCGATTGGTGAAAACTTCAGGTCGCTAGCTATTACCATTGTCAAGTTGTTGAGCTTACAGCCAATTCTTTTTAATTTTGGCGTGGACATTAGTACAAAAGTCAAACAAATACTAAACTACCGTTTGGAGCCGAGATGATAACTGCTGCATGAGCTCTGAATATGTTAATATTGTTTTTTTTCTATCTAGTGATTATTATCGTCTTTCTTATTTGATCTATATAAGTTATGCAAAAATATTTTCTAGATATTTGAGACTTTGTCGTGAAAAAAAATGAAGTCACGTAAAATGATAATTAAATGATTTATGCATATAACATTACAATTGCATTATGTCTCACGAAAGACGTCAGCAAGTTTTTTTGTTCAACTAGAAATGATGATCAGATGCTGAGGATGAGTAGCTCGCTTGAATCGTAACTAATGCGTCGAGTAGAAAATAAGTCGACTGATGCACTAAGTGTAATCAGCCGCTTAATAAAAAGATAACATGATGGAAGTGAAGTATAATGAATAGAGGTTCGTACAATCGAAATATTTGATTATACACTCCTTTTAACTTCTTAACAAATACAGACTAGAAGCCATATGGAAACTATTACATCTTTTTTTTTATTCTAAGAACTATAACAGTTGAATAGAGAGGCATAATTTTTATCGTGAAGCATATGAATGCTGACGGCATCAAAAGAGAAAAATATATGCTTGGTTTAAACGCCATTATTGCATATATATCTTAGCAACCATTTGTTATAATAGCAGGTCACTGGTTAATATCATTCAAAACACCCTGAAAAACTTTAATTGTCTACAATGAATGATAATATAAAATGTGTTAATTGTCGATCGATGGCTAATTTACTAATACATCGACAACATTCACATGGTTTATGTGATGGTTTTACCACGATTTTATTTTATGCACGTGAAATGCAAAAATTAGCTGAAGAAGTTCAATCATATAGTGGAGAACATCGTATTGAATTAGGTGATATTGAATGGAAAGTATTTCCTGATAATTGGCCAAATATTTTTATTCATAATTCTGAACAAATTCGTAATAGTCATGTTCTATTCTTAGCTTCATTTCATAGTCCACAATAGAGAGCTGCAGGTTGTAGATAACCTGCCCTGCCCTGCCCTGCCCTGACAGGGCAGGGCAGGGCAGATTACAACAACCGCAGGGCAGGACAGGGCAGGTTGCGAAAATTTTTACAGGGCAGGTTGCAGGGTATGAATATTGTAACCTGTCAACCTGTGACTAATATTATGTACTAGATGTTGTCTACCTCTTTTCAAAGTTATTTGATAAGAGAACGTTAAAAATGAGAGTGAACTGACAATTAATTTCTATTGGTCACAAGCACGCTCAATAGAAACAGATACGCTGATAATATAATATATCTTCTTTATCTCGTTATGCATATACGTTTATACATACTTAAATGTACATAAAATTTTCAAATTTTGAGCTTTATATTTATTCGTTTTATTATTATTATAATTAATTTATCTTTCAAATATTATCAACAATATAAATTGATTTTTGTTACTTTTAATCTATTATCTATGTCATCTTCAAAGCGAGATATAGAACAAAAAAAGAAGCAGGTGATAGAAAAACTAAAGAATGGTGAATTTATAGCTAAAGTAGAACCGCCTTCATCGTCTCACGGTTCATTTTGGGAACATTTATTACGTATTAAATGCTCAAATAATGAATATCAACCATTTGTACAATGTACATTGTGCCATGAGATATTATCATATTCAATATCACATGGAACTTCTACCATCAGTTATCATGTTAAAAATTGTCTTGATAAATCAAATAAATTAAAGAATAACAAAACAATTAGTAGTTATTTATCAAAGTCCACCGATGTTAAAGTAACTGTAGATGATAAACGATCAATTACAATTGCTTGTGCCAAACTGTGTTCGTTTGACATGAGACCTTTCAGTATTGTGAAAGGTCGAGGATTTACATTTTTTTGTCAAAGTTTAATTAACCTTGGTTATCAGTATGGTACCACTAAACTTGGTCCTCCTTCAGCAAGTTCATTATTACCAGATCCAACAAATATATCCCGTACTGTATCTCAAATAGCTGAAGAAGAACGGGAAAGATTAAAAAACATCTTGAAGGTTGATTTACAACATGTAAAGATGGTTGGTGTATCTACAGATTATTGGAAGAACAGTGGTACCAGTGAAAGTTACTTAACAATCAACATTCACTATTCAAAAAATGAACAGAATGTTACTTATATGTTACGAACTTCATTATTCGCTCAATCAAAAACAGGTGATAATACAAGACAAAGAATTTTTTCTGTTTTATTAAGTTATGAGATTGATCCTAATCAACATCATGTCGTGTACATAACTGATAATGGCTCCAATCTAGTTTGTGGTCTGCGTAAGTGTCTTTGTCTATCCAACTATTTTTATATGTTTTTTTTCTAATTAGAAGGCGAAGTACATCTTCGCTGCATCTGCCACTGTCTAAACTTATCGTTACACAATGGTGTAAGCTTATGTCCTAATCTTGAATTGTTAATAAAATCTTGTCAGGAATTATGTGTTCATTTCAAACGGTGTGAAATGAATCAGTTGTTATCAACAACGCTCAAAATAAATGTGGATACAAGGTGGAACTCCATACATGATATGATGCAATCGATCTCATTAAATTTTCATAAATGTGAAGATCTTTTACTTGATCGAAATGAAATTTACTACTTAGATGATATTAATCGAAAATTATTGTCGGATCTGGTAAAATTTTTATCTTTATTTAAAGTAGCAAGCGAACAATTGTCTGCTGATACGTCTCCAACTCTTCATTTGGTAGTACCTTGGTTCACGAAACTGAAACATTCCTGTGAAATTCAACAAGATGATCCTTTAACATTATCTCAATTCAAAACTGCTGTTTCAAAGATGCTGGATGAAAAAATTCATTTAACATCCTTGCATTATATTGCTACGTTTTTGTATCCAGGAACAAAAAACTTTTTGGTAATCGATGTTTTTAGCAATGCATTTATTTGATCTTTGAAATTTTCTTTAGACATTGAGTCGTAGCTTTCGAAATGAAATTTATGCCGATACTCGAAAAATAATTAAAACAATTGGTATTCAACAACAACAATCATCATCTACAACAGCTACAACAAACTCTAACAAGCCACCGAAGAAAAAGAAAACTGATTTAGTAATGGAAAGCGATGTGATGCAAGAATTTGCAGGACATGTGGACAGTGATTGTGATGACAACTCTGATGAAATTGATCGTTATATTAACAGCAAACTTTCATTTTCAAATGATGATACGTTGTTAGGATGGTGGAGTAAACATTCATTAATATTTCCACAGCTAACTTTATTAGCTAGGTCGTTATTTGGAATTCCTGCAAGTTCGGCTACATCGGAGCGTGTTTTTAGTTCAACAGGTCGAATATTAGAAAAAAGAAGACAGCTTTTGAATCCTGATATTGTTGATGATATTTTGATGATAAGAAATTTTCGAGATGCATGATGTTGTTTTTTTTGCTTTTATAATTGAGAAAAATCAAATGAAATTGTATAATAAACTAATACGAATGTTTGAATTTTTGTTCATTATCAAAAAATGCAGGGCAGGGCAGGGCAGGGCAGGTTGAAGGTTATGAAGTAAAATCTCAGGGCAGGGCACGCTAAAAGTCTTACAGGGTAGGGCAGGGTAAGGTTGTCAAATATCTACAGGGCAGGTTACAGGTTGTCAAAATGTCGTGCCCTGCAGCCCTCTAGTCCACAAACAATTTTTGAACAAATTTCACTTCTATCATTTACCAAAATATCTTTGTCGTTCATTAAAAGTTCTTTTACCATATTTTCCAACGGGTACAATGGAACGTATACAAATTCAAGGTGAAATAGCCACAGCTTATTCGCTTGCACAAATGCTTTCATCAATTCCATTAACACGTACTGGTCCATGTGAAGTTGTTATATTTGATATTCATGCATTACAAAATCAATTTTATTTTTCATCAAATGTTATTGTTCGTCTTGAATCAACAGTTGGATTATTATTAGATGAATTAAATAGTCGAGAAAATCAAAACGAAAAATTTGCTATTGCATTTCCAGATGATGGAGCTCATAAAAGATTTGCTCATATGTTTGAAGAAAATAAGTATCCAATTGTAATTTGTAGTAAAATTCGAGAAGATGATAAACGTATTACAACTATTAAGGAAGGTTCGTTTTAATTTTTTTATATAAAGATATTAAAATGTAAATAATTTTTTTCTTCTAAAGGTAATCCAACAGGTTATCATTGTATAATTATTGATAATTTAGTACAATCAGGTGGTACACTTATTGAATGTGCACAAGCACTTTTAAAAACTGGTTCCGTTAATATATCTGCTTTTGTTGGTCATGGAATATTTCCAAATGAAAGTTGGAAAAAATTCATTCATTCAAATAATCCAAAAGTTCGTTTCGATACATTTTATGTAACAAATACTTATCCAAATGCACAAGTATTAATTGGTAAACCTCCATTTAAAGTAATTTCTATTGCCAAACTTTTATACAATATTTGTTTTAATTGAATTCAAAAACATTCTTTTTCTCTTCAAATAAAATATAATACCTTTTTGATAAATATATATACCACACTCAGGTTCATCTATATTAGATACTTTCATATCTCAAGCATTTTAAAGAAAACATGAATCACCATTGAATTGTACACAATAATTGAAATATAAACTTTTGAATGATATTGTAAATGAACGGAAGGAAAGATTTATGTGGTTGTCACATGTTTATCGTTGTAGTGGTATGATAGAAAGGCACAGATAGATGCAGATCCATTTTTTTTTTATGAATCTAGACCTGGATTTCAGAATAGATAGATCTCGATGCGTAAAGGAAAAGTTGTCAGAGATTCTAAATTACTAAATACTTCTTTCTAGGAAATATTGGAATCGCTACGGCTAAAAATACATCCGCTTGCTCAGATACATAACGTCAGATAGAACTGGAATTTTTTACATATACTAGACACTGCTGAGAATGTTTAGTTTTTGGTTTATTTTTATCTCCTTGCATTCGAATAAAAAGATCAAAATACAGAGTATGTATCCCCAAAAATATATGTTTACTTTACTAGAATTTCTTTCGTAAAATCTTCCAAAAATCTATGGTGCAAATTTTTTCAGAAGGAAAAAAAAAGTAGGTACTCAAATCAGTGCTCAGTATCTGTAAAAATAGTTTTAGCTCGATCGAACGTTCTATGTCGAAAAAACGGAAGCGAATCTGAACCTTTTTTTTTTGTAGAATTTGATTTCGAGAAAAACGAGAAAAAAATCTTCCTGCACGTATCAGAACTTCTTTTTTTTACAACTAAAGTGATGGAAAACTGATCATGTTAGGTGGTGCTATACGCCTATAACTCATGCTCTAAGCATCTTTAGAACGATAAATAATCATTATTATGAGAAGAATTTTGTAAACAAAGACTAATTGCAGCGCGAGTTGAGTGTGGGTATGAATCTTCTTTTTGTCCACATCCACACCCAGAAGTTTTTCAGAAATTCTAATCTCACATAGAGTGGTCACATCCCTGTCTGAGAATTAATAATATTTTAAATGAAATCAAAACTATTCATCTCTTATGAAGAAAAATCATCATTCAGACAACCAAAAGAATTTTTCATTCACCTTCTAAGAAATCTCTACAATATTGAGAAAATATTTTCAGTTATGCTATCTCAGTAAATAGAAGAATATCAGTTTTGGATCTTCAGAGATACTTTGTAATATCGATAAACTTTGTTAACACTTTTCTTAATGAATAAGATACATATTGATATAGAATAAAATTATTTTTGTGTTATTCTGAAAAATCATCAATGTACTGACTTACAGTTCTAGTGATAAATGTTGCTCATTGTTGATTTAAACATTTTGCTTACTTTTTATAAATGATCTTCTCCAAGTAAAGGTATGATTGTCGCATGTGCCTCTATATCTTAAATGGAACGTAGGAAAAAACGATTCTGTTTTTTCTTTATCAGGGGTCGCAGCGACACTACTTTCCTGATTTTTTAAAAGCGTCCTGAGTCGTCCTAATTTTGCCCATTTTTCCTGATTTTCCTGATTTTCTTGACTTTGTGTTATATAGCTCGGACGCAACAGTAGTTCGGAAGCACAAAACAGGACTCATTGCCAAGAAAATTTTCTCTCCAATTATAGCACAAATTCTCAGTCTTTGTTTTAGTTGGACTATGAGCGAGATATCGTTTTTAGGGGTTGATTTTTATATAAGGCTTAAACTTGACGATTTTAATGCAGTTGGTCTCTTTCGGAAGTAATAAAATTCAGCTCTACTCAACCCTCCACACTAGTGGCGTAACCACGAGGGGGGCTGGGGGGGGGGGGGGGGGGGGGGGGGGGGGGGCCCCCCCGGCCGGGTGGCCGCCCCCCCCCCCCGCCACCCTTCCGTCCCTACAAAAGAGGGAGTGCTTCCTGGTT